GTTTGAACTATGAACTAAGTCGATTCGGTTTGGGTCAATTTCGGTTTTATTGTGTGAAATCCGAAACCGACCCGAATCATCGGTTTAGGAATTTGCACAATCCAAAACCGACCCGTGCTAATGAAAACCCGACCGACTCAAGTTAGATCGGTCCAGATTGGTTGATTTGATCAGATTAGGCCTTCTTATCTTATGAACAGCCAATTGACACCCTAGGATGCAGACAATGCCATACCTATGCATATCCCAAAATGTTCCTACAACTTCGTACAGAATCTAGCTTGGTTGGGGTTGTTCAAGAGTGTTGCATTGCAAACCACCACAGCCAGCAAATAACAAGGGGGAAGAGGAACTGAATAAACATGACATTAATAAAAGTTCAGTATCTTAAGGGGTGCTTGATATCACGGGGTTGCTGAATCCTTTTGCCACCATATACGTTTAATATAGGCATTTTCATTTTACCAATTACCATAATCCTACTTGATTGGACTAGTTCAAATACAATAATTTATACTGTTCTTTATCTCATATTATGTGAAAATCAATTTTGGAGGAAAACATCATTGGAATATTTCTTGATTAGGGACACATTGTCCTATATGCGCTTATGTGTATATTACACAACAATGACATTGTACTTTGTGTTTAATATTATTTTTTTCACAAGTTCTAGTGATTAAATAAAGTAAACACAATACACCAAAATACCAAACACCTCTTTAGACTAGTCTCTTAAATCTTAGGTCAATTAAATTGGAAAATTGTAGATGTGAATGACATTTTATGTGCCCCCCCAAACAAGGCTGGAGTTTGGATTTTAGTTGAGTCCCAACAAATAAGGGGAAACAAGTTGAGTAGGAAACCTTCTTTCTCTTTCTAGTTGCTTTACTTATTTTTCTTCCTTGTCCTTTTTGTAGGAAACCTCACACGAGGTTGGGATTGAATTTATAGTAGTTAGGGAACCTGCCTTGGTAATAACTGGCCTTGATAGAACCTGCATTGGTAGAATTGGCTTAATTAACCTTGGTAGAACCAACATTAATGGAACTGAAACTGCATAGACTTGGATCAAACCTGATTAAACTTATTAAAACCAGCCTTGGTGGAACCAAAATTACCTAACCTTAGAACTGAGCCTGTCTTAAAATAAATTACAAAATACTTTGAGGATGTGAAGAATTGGATCCAAATAGTAATGGTTACAAAGGTCACAACCTTACTTAATCATTGAATTTAGCCAATGAGTTTGAATGATGGATTATGTATTAATTGCATTATATTGTTTGGGCTAATTGTGGATAGTATTCTAAGTTGCATTGAGATTGCATTCAACTAAAATGTGAAATGTGTGTAGAAATGGATTATGGATTAGTAAAATTATGTGGTATTATTTATGTTTTTATAAAATGTCTTATTTTTCCTTGAGATTGAATGACTATGGATTTGAAATGTGAAATGTTTATGATAAATTGTTATCCAAAACCAAAGCTTAAATTGTTATTATTACTATTGTTGTTGTTGTTATTTAATAACAGGTTTTGTGGGTGGACCTTAGAACCAACCTTGGAACCACCAAGGCCATAACCAATTTTGATAGGGTAGGTTTTGGTTCCAAAAATATTGAATCAACCCTAAGTGTTAGGTTATAGTTTTTGCCTTAGAATTGAATTGAACCGAACCATGCTCACACTAATTAGAATCATTGGGGGGGGGGGGGGGAGAGAGAGAGATCCATTACAAGTTGAATGGACTAAATTGAGCCAACAAAATGAAAAAGACATGGGTTGAAGTGGTTAGAAATGGTTTGATGGTCCATGGTTTAACAATTGACATGACATTCAATGAAACAAGAGAATTCATGTAACCAGCAAAAATCATGTTTTATGAACCATTTGACCCCATTCCTTTCACGATAAGTTATTTACATGGGTATATGCATTTACTCGGGTAAGTCTTACTTAAGAAAATGCTACTTGGGTAAGTATATTTATCACATTCTCTTGCCAAATGGGTAAGTGAGCGAATTTCCCAAAGGACATCATTTTTTGTTATGGCTAAGACATTAATCCTACATAGTTTGGCCTATTCCCCCCTCCTCTATGGGTAAGTAACTTATCCACCTCCCATGTGATTTGTTGGTTTCGACTCATGATGAGCTTCCTTTTATTGATGTTTCTGCTTTGAATTAATTTTCAAAACCTTGATATAATTATTTGTTGAAAAATGAAGAAAAGAAGTTTGCCTTACAACATAAGAAAGGATAAGACTAAAATAATTATGATTTTATCTACTAAAAAACAAAGAAATAATTCATTGAGTTCAGTTAAAGTCACTTCAACATGTATCCATGGCCCGTAAATGAAAGAATCATAATATATACACTTAAACCAATCAAAGTTTTTTTTTTCTAATTATTTTAACAAAACACCTATATTATATAATTGCTTTAGATTTTTATATTACAAGTTATACAAGTTAAATATAAATATCATATATCATATATGATTAATATTTTAATTATATATGTACATAATATGCTGCTCTTACACTATTACTTAATAATTGCTTAGGTTGATATTTTAAATAATTGTTTTTTTAGATTAATCACAAGCAGCCACCATACATTTAGGGGTGATAAAACTTAGCCACGCGAACTTTGTTTTGCGACAAAGACCTCCCAAAACTTCTAGACTCTGAAACATTGTCCTTGATTTGCTAATATAGGGTTTGTGGTGAAAATTAAATTACAAAATTGCCCAAATGGGATTCTATGGGTTTCACAGAAAAAAAAAAACTATCTTTAAAGCACAGATCGTTCTCATTCTCATGACGGATTTTGTCGAAAGAAAATTGAGAGAGAAACTTGTAGGCATTAAGATTTTAGAAAACAAAGTAAAAAAATTTAAAATGGTCTCATGAAATAGTATAAAAGGTAATTTAAGGTTTTAGAAACATTTAACAGAACATTGCATGAAAAATCTGTTGTGATTGTTGTTGCATGCAATCCGATTACATAATAGAGTTTGAAATAAAATACAAAAGATTTGACTATGATATCAGAAAGAGTTTGAAATAAAATTTTCGAGATTCCAACATGGTGTAAACTATTATGTTAGTGAATAATAGTTATTAAGGCTCAGTTTGGAAGGAGTATAGATACAAATACGTAGAATGCAAAACCTTACATTTTGTTTTATTTTGTATATATTTGATTATTTATATATTTGTACTCCTTCCAAACTGAGCCTAAACTATGGCTTTTTCAACTGTTGACTGGGGTCAAGGTGGGTTTTAAGAAAACCCAAAATTCTAAAGTAACACAGGATGAGACGGGGATGGTATTTATCCACCTGCCTCAAGTTTGGTCCCTAAACTACCTCAATTAAAACATTATATAAATAAATTGTATATATAAATATATATTATATTACATTATTTTTTAAATGGATATGTTAGAAGCTACTTCCCATAAACCAAATCAATTACATACCCTTCTAAGGCATAAAGATATTAAAATTTGTAGAAGAATTTATAAATAAAACAACTTGATCAAGTTTTATGAGGAGTTTACAATATATAAAAAAGTAGAAGAAAGCTAATCCAAAATGGTTGGGGAGGGCAGGGCAAATTTGGGATCCTAATTCCTTATGGGGATGAGGTAATTGGGATCTGTTTCTTCTAGAACGCTCTTCACACCAATCTCACAGTATGTTTCATCCACACAATGTGAACATCTCCTACACGAGTTTGGATTTTTTACCTACGACAACTCTACCTGCATAACATTACAGTCTCACATGGAAAACATCTCATTCTCTTACTTGTTAATATGCACAGGGAGATATTCCCAATGCATGGAAGTAGTGTTTTGTGGGTAGGCGTGGATAGAGTTCTTGTGGGCAAGAGATCCAAAGTCCTCCCAAGTCCAGCTTTTCTACCCATGACAAATCTATCCACACCTACTCACGTAATAACTCAGCCACACATGAGGAATATCTCATCCAGAGTCTTCCCATACTTTCATGTTATTATTAATGGGAGATGTTACAATGTTGCTGTGAGGAGCAAATTCGGACTTGGATGGGATGAGACTTGGATTTATAGCCCCATGGGTACAGGGTAAGGTACAAAAATTGTCATGCTCCGTTGCTATTCCTACAACTCATAAGCTTATAATGCATTCTTTTTTTAATTTTTTTTTTGAGGGGGGGGGGGAATTCCCAATCAGTACCCTGTACTTTGGCTCGAGTAACAAATTGGTCCCTGAACTTTAAAGTGCGACAATCGAGTACCCGAACTTTGAAATTGTGACAATTCAGTACCTGCTGTTAACCAATCTGTTAATCAGCCGTTAAGTGACATTTGAAAAGTCAAAAATGCCCTTTGAATGTCTTATAATTCTCTTTAATAACCATCCAAACGTTGACACAAAGCTGAACAATCCCAAACCCTAACATCTTTTATTCATAAAAAGTTAGTGACTGTTTAGAAGAATCTAGAATTTGGGACTGTTCATTTTATTGTCAATGTTTAAATGGTTGATAAAGAGAATTAGATGGCCTTTGAAGGACATTTTTAACTTTTCAAATATCACTTAACGACTGATTAATGACGAATACTAGATTGTCACATTTTAAAAATTTGGGTAATGAATTATCATATTTTAAAGTCCAATGACCAAATTATCACTCAAGCTAAATTACAAAATACTATCGAGAATTTTCTCTTTTTTTTATTGATTAAATTCCAAATTTCCACTAGGACCAACAAGAGACCTTACCAACCACCTTGTTGGCACCTTGCATGATGAAATCGTATTTGGATTGGCATGATGGTGTCGGCACTCCTTAGTGGCGGGGCAAAGTGCTGAAATCCAGAAGTTCTGAGTCTTTCTGTGCAAAACAAATTTAGGGGGTTAAGTGTTACGGACCCCAAAATGCAGGGTGACTTTGGTGAAATTTATCCTCTTTAATTACGGTGATATTTTTGAATCCTTTTAATTATGATGAATTGATGATTGATGACCACGGGTTACTGGCTAGCCCTGCATAATAATCTTCCGTCGACCATGTCCGTTTCTCCTGGAGGCTGATTATGGTTGATGTTTTATCTCGTGAGAGCAGATGGCTAGGCCAGCTGTGATGGTTAATGTTGTAGATGTCTACATATCTGTCTGGTGTCTACTGATTCTATTTATTCTCCAAACCTGGTTCAGGAATCACAACCTCTTCAATCTCATTCTCAGGTAATATTATTTCTTCGAAGTTTTGATGGATCGGTAAATTCATTATGAACAGAAAACCAAAATTGCATTTTCGGTTTCTTTATTGCCATCATCCTTTTTTTTCCCATTCCCTAGTTCGAAAGGATGCTATACTGCTAAAAGAATATGATATTTGAGTTGCTTACAACACTTTATTTATTTATTTTTATTTGTGTTCATCGAACTTCCATATACAAGTCTTACCAAAAAAAAAAAAAAAAACTTCCATATACAAGATGATTTCCTTGCTTTGGCTACTTGCTTTTTATTTTACTTTAACAAATTTTCTTTGTATTTCGTTTGTTATAGAAAGTCTGACTTCATTTAACTCGAGTGTCGATAGCCATTTTCCACAAATGGAAAATTTGTCATGATAAATATTCCTTGAATTCATTTCAATGAAAATTGGGGTTTTTTCATGACTTTTACTTTTTATGAATGTGGCAGGCATATAATCTGAGCTATGATCTGGAGTCCCTTCGAGACAGTGTTTGGTGAAACTCTGGCTCTCCTAGTTGCCAAGATAGCCGATGTTAGGGATGCATGAAGTATGACCTCATTGTCTCTTTGTCTGTGCCTTCCATTGTGGGTCGGGTTTATATCCATCCCAATAAGCTATTTCTTTAAATAGACTGTTTGAGCCGTCTTCTCTGGCAAATCAAATGGAGCGTGGGAGCTCTACTCAAAGTCTTTCGAGTAGAGGCGGTTCTGGTATGTGAATCCTAGTAATTAATTGATTTTCATTTTCGGTGCGTGGGACTTGTTTGATTGATGGAGTTTTTAAAGTACCTCATTTGATAGATCATGAAAAGTTGCTACCAGTGGCATATTGATTGGCATGGTGCTTGTAGATGGGAATGAGATCCACTATTCTATCTTTCAATGGGTCCTGGCTAAGAGATCTTATATACAAAATTTGATGTGACTGGATGTATTTTTGGAGGTCAGAAATAATATGGGGAGTGGTACAGCAAAAGAACTAACTTGGATGTTTAAGATCACCAATGTTATTATTATTATTTTTTTTTGAAAGACAACACATGGCATTGATTTTGGAATTTAACCTTTGAGAGGACCAATTGAATGGCTTGCCCAATGTCTTTACATGTCTGTACATCGCCATATGTATTGGTAAGCATGTGCAGCATGGCTGATACCAAGAATCCTTGGTGATATATTGGTCTTATGGTTCATATAAAAAAACTTCCTCTTTGTTGATATCTTTAGCTGAAATTAGATGACCCAGCATTTCTTACTTTATCCTTTCTTCTTTCTGGATGCAGACATGGGAAGCAGCCGTTATCTGATAGAGTCAGGGTTCTATCTCACATCATTAGCTGCAACAATCTTCGTTGCAGCACTTATAACAGTTGGGGTTTTGTTTATCACTTTGCTGGTAGCATTAACTCTCATGTTACAATCCTGTCAAAGTAGGAATTCTGGGGTTGTTCAGCTCCGGGAAACAAGAGTTGAGTATGATTATTGCAAGAGTTTTACTCTACATGCGGAGCTTAACAACTTGGAAGTGGCCGAGTTTCCAACAATATGCAAGGCACATGCCATTTCATACATCAAAGAAGGTCAATATCTACGAGATTTGAATTTCACCATAATGATAGCTGAGAACTACTTTAGTAATTTGACACCACAGGATGATGGGTTGGATGTTATTTTGATTGATATAGATGATATATTTCCATCTAATCCTCATCGTGCCCATCCCTTGCTGTTCAGGTAATTTTTCTAAGACCACTGTCTTATGATGCCGATAGCATTGTTGGACTCTTTTGTCTACCTTCTTGTGAAAATTACTGTTATGCATCATAAATGTAAATGAATCCCATAAAAAAATCATAAATATAAATGGAATCTAACTTCAAAATTGGTCGTTTGGTGGTTATTTCACTGCTATCATACAAAAGAAATAGTTGTTTATTTATTTATTTTTAAATTCATAAAGGCATACCACATGACTTCTAAATCATCATTATCAGGATCCAACACCATGAGAGTTTGGCAAAAGTTTTAGTGCTGGCTGTCAACCTGATACAACCCTCCTCCTTTATCTGGGCTTGGGACCATATGAGTTCTAAATGCTCATATTCTCTCATTGGATGCATATGTCTTACTACTGTTGTGAGAACGTATGACCTGATACAACCCTCTTCCTTTGTCAAGCTCAGCTTTTTTTGTTCAGTTTTGTCCGTCTTAGGCTTTCTTCTTCCTATGATAATCATCAAGTGAATTGAGAAGATTATTAAGGACTTGCTTTAGGAGCTTGGGGCTTCAAAAAAGGATTATTTGGCGAATTGGGTAATGGTTTGTAGGAGAAAGGAATACTAAGCATTGTCTTTAGGCAGAACTAGGGGTTAGAAATACTATTGGCATTTGGTTGTCAAGAGTGTATATGGATTTGACCAGACAGGTTGGGACTCCATTCAACTATTGTGATGACCCTAAGGTGCCCTTGGAAACTATAATGATCCACATTTTTTTTTTATTTATAGATTCATCAGGTATGGTTCTATTTCTAACAGGTGAATTAGGATTATTGGAGGTTGTGGAGGCGTTTATTTTAATAAATTATTACATATCTGTGGTGGTTGTGTAGCTTTGGAAGTATATTGGGTTTATGTGTAAATTTTGGGATTGTTATGTTTGGACTTATTTAAGACATCAGTGTATTGGTTTAGAGATGATACAGTGAGAGGAGAGGGTTGGATGTATTTATATTCTTCAGATTTCTCATACCAGAATGACCCTCCTCATGTTGATGGGCCTTGTGGCCAAACCATGTAAATCTAGTTTCTCTCTATTTTTTATTTTCTTTGTTTTTATGGTATTTTCCCCACTTCATTTTTTCTTTGAAAACTGATAATGTGTTGCATTGTATTGTATTAATGAGAAACTTCAGCACCCATGGTATTTTCCCCACATGATCTCTACAGGTTAGTTATCATTAGCCCTGCTAGTGCTAGAATGTCTTGAATTAGGGGCACAGCCCATTGCTTTTGCATTTTGTTTTTAACCAAATCTTTGTGTCTAGTAAAAGCAGCGTGTGTGGCTAAAAAGGTGCAAAGCCAGGGTTCTAACCCTTATATGACTGAGTACCCAAAATGCTCAGGGTCTTCTTTCTCTAGTGTGGCAATGATTAAGAAGAGAAGTTTCTTGTTCTTGGTTTTGTATGCATAGCCAAAGCAGGGCGAGAGAGTGTGAGATTTGGGACTGAGGTTGTGAGAGCAATTAGAGAGTGACTCTATGATCTCCTAGTATTTTTCATAGTGATTTTTCCCGGATTATCTTCACTTGTGGATGTAGGTCAATGACTGAACTACATTAAATTCCTGTGTGCTCTTGAGTTGCTTTATTTTTTCTGTTTTTTCCCTATTTCTCTATCTGCCAATCAGTTTAGATCTTTGTTTTGTCACTACAAAATACAAATTAGTATCAGAGCATCTGGGTGTTTGATTGATTGTATTTGTGATGGTGGCAAGAGCCGCATCAGCGGTGAAATATGAAGTAGAGAAATTTGATGGAAGAAATGATTTTACTTTGTGGTGTATCAAGATGTGCACCCTGTTGGTGCAACAAGGGTTACTCAAGTCACTGAAAGGGAAGGAAGCTTTACTGGTGATAATGTCAGAAGACGATAAGGAGGATCTCTTGGACAGGGCACATAGTGCTTTCTATTCAATTGTGCTTATCTGATGAGGTTGTTGAGAGAGGTTTCAGAAGAGACTACGACAGTCAGGTTGTGGCTCAATTTGGAATCTCTGTACATGATCAAATCCCTGATGAACTGGCTGAAACAACGATTGTACACTCTCTGGATGAAAGAAGGTATGTCCATCAAAGATCACCTTGATGGATTCAACAGAATAATTTAAGATTTGAAAAATATTGATGTGAAAATTGAAGATGAGGACAACTCTTATTCTGTTATGTTTGTTACCTCCTTCATATGATCATTTTATTGATCCTATTAGATAATTAAAACCTATTCAGGGACCTCTCCCAAAAGCTTAAGCTTTTAGATTGAACTGTTCCATGAGATGGTATATTGGTATTAGAGCCTGTTTGTCCAAGTGGTCCAGTGTCCGATCCTCGTCACCCCCATTATAACTAATTAAATTTCAACACAAGGTATGAGTGGGCTTGTGTTTGTCCATGCTTCAAGCTTGATGGGCTTTCGAGGAAGGGGCATGTTAGAGAAAAAAATCCATTTAGGGAAGTCCCTGAATAGGTTTTTTATTCTCTAACAGATGCCATGTTATATGGGAGAGATAGTATCTCTTTGGAGGATGTTAAAGCAGCCTCAAACTATAGGGAGTTGAAAAGCGGGTGCCAGAAAATCATGTTGAGAATCAGGCAGATGGCTTGATTGTTAGAGGTAGAACAAAAGAAAAAAGGGTCACGAGGTTGGGCACATTAGAAAAAAAATGTTCAAAACACAAAAATAAGGGGAAAAAGAAAATTGAAGAGACCTTTGGTGCTGCAAATGTTGCTAGTGAAGGGGAGAGTTCTGATGATGCTGACAATGTTTTGGCAATGCCTGTTAGTAGCTCAGGTGATGATGGATTCTTGATTTGGCTTGTACCTTTCAAATATATCCCAGTAAAAATTGGTTTTCCACATACAATGGTTGAACCACGTTAAATTTTGTGCTCTTGACTCTTGAGTTGCTTTATTTTTCTATTTTCTATTTGCCAATCAGTTTAGATCTTGGGTTTGTTAGTACAGCAAGTGTAGGATTCGGACATAAATTAATCATTAATGGTCTTCATCAAGGTTTGGACTGAATTGATTTGGAGTGAGTTACTGCAATTGGAGCAAGTTCCAGGATTCTCAGCTGAGTATGTGATTAGGAAAGAAAGACAGTTAATGCAATGAATTTGTTTAAGCTGAAAATAGCATTTAATGAGGAAGAGCATTACAGGACAGAAGGATTTTCCACTAATTTTTCTGAGAATTTTGAGGGTGTTATATCAAGTTTTCAGGTCTGGAAATCTCAGAAATTAATCTTGCATGAATTGTGATCCCATAGTTCATTGATCTTAAGAATCTCAGCAGGGGGATTTAGATTCACTGCATTTTCTTATGCCCAAATTTCTGGTTGGTCTACTTGATCACTTGTCAGGCCTCAGGGCATTTTCTGGATTGCCATTTGAGGGTCTTTAGACATAACTCAAATACTTTTCTTATGAAGAGGTAGTTTTTACAGGACTACTAAGATTATTTTTACATTTCTGGATCATTTTTAAAAGCTGTTATGATTGGTTATGGCTTTTCATTTTTTTTTTCTGAAATTAATCAGGTTATTTTTTGTTTTTCATAGTTGACTCCTTGGGTTTGGACTTTCATCAGCTGGGATCTCTAGAAGGGTCTATAGGCTTGGTAAAGAACAAATCTGGAAATCAGATTCATATATTTTCAGTAACTTTTGGATGATTCCTTCAGTTTTCTCAATACATTTGGACCTGCCATGGGCAGCCCTAGTAAAGCTGTCATGCTAGCAGCTCAGGCATTAGATAAGGTTCCTATTTTGAATTTTCATTGTTTTGTTTGTGAGCAAAGTAAGAAGACTTATGAAGTGGGTATTCTGATTTGGTGGATTATTACAGTATTTGGTTGATTGCTTTGGTATCTGGTTCAATAACTCTGTTGGCTTCTCTATTTGGTAGCTTCTTCTTCTTTACTTCTCCAGTTTGGTGTTCATGCACTGGTTTCATGATTGTTGACTCTCCCTTGGTCACTACTGGTTTTTTGATATGCTCTCTACTTGTTTGATCTGGTTTATAGGATTTTTTTTTCTCCAGTTGGTTGCCCGATGGCAACTCTGGTTTGATAATCTGGTCCCGTTATCTGTTTTTTTCATCTCTCTGGTGCTTGGGCTCTGATGCAGTGATGCTTACGTTAGTTTCAGTTATTTCACTTGTTTGACATGGTAATGTGTTGTGCTTCTCCTGGTTTGTGATTGTGGTTTGGTGATTATAGGTAGCTTTCTGTTTTGAGCATCTATTGGTGTTTTATATAGAGATTTTTGGAAGCATTTGATTGGTGCTTCACCCAGTGGTTTGGTTGGTAATTCTATGCCTGAGTTGGCTTTCTGTTGGCCAATTCCAACTTTTTGGCCTCTTCTGTTTTTGTTTCCTCCAGCATGCTATATTTTGTTAAGTTCCTTCTTGATATTCAACCTTAAAAACTCAAGTTGGTTCACTATTTTGAGTTTGAGGGAGGGTGTAGAAGATATGGTTGTATCTGGTATTCTGGTTTCTCTTTTAATGATGATACTAGCGAGGGGGGCCCTGCTTCGCAGGGGCTAATGACAGGACAAATTGCTCCTTAACCACTTGGTATAGAAATCTCAGAATTAGAATTGTGTGCAAATGGCAAAATGGAAGTTTAAATAAAATAATATTTTTTTTCAATTTTTTTTTTGTATGTACTTGTAAATAAAAGAAAACTTGTTGCAAAATTGCATTTCTTTTCAAAATTAATCCAAAAAGAAAATAATTTTTGTTTCCTATAAAGATCAAAATAAAATTTAAAAATCAAAAAAATATTTCACTTATGCAAAGCCAAAACAGTAAAGTTTTCCCTCCAAAAAGGCTATTAAATCTCAGAGCCATAATTACTTAATTTTATTAGTAAAGAAGGCCATTGAATTACAGAACTATAAATACTTAATTTATTAGTTAATTTTATTAATTTCTATAAAAGGTAAAAGCTCAAATATAAATTGTACAAAATGTTGCTAGTGACAAAATTGATAAGAGGTTTTGTGGTATTAACCCAAAAATCTTAAATATACCAACTTGTTTTAGTGATCTAGATTCTAGAGGCAGGGTATCCTGAGTTCCGTGTACTCATGAGGTAAATTTTTGCCACAAATAATGCCATGAGTTTCTCTTGAATGTGGCTATGTTTTGTCCACATAATATATATATTGGCATTTAGGTCAGTTGTGTTAATAATGTTGTTAAAACTAAGCTTACTAAGTTTTTTGATAATTTAAAATTAAGGTTTATGTCTTGCAAGAAGAGAGGAGTTGAGGAGAAAGTGAGAGGTAAAAGATCTCACATCTAACTAAACCTTTAACAAAATCAAGGTTTCATTAAGATTATGGTTTTAATTAAGGTCTTAATATTAAGTTTTAATTTAGGTCTGTTGTGAGAAGAAAGGGGTTGAGAAGAATTGAAAATGCAATCATTATGACGTAGGAGGAATATCATGATCTATCCACTGGATAAATCAAATCCTTTACTTTGTGTATCCAGTTGTTTATCCAATGAATAAATCAAACCTTTACTTATGTACCAGTGTACCACCAGGCAGCAGGAATACTGTGATCTGTCCAGCGGATAAATCAAATCCTTTACTTTGTGTATCCATCTGTTTGTCCCACCAAGCAGCAGTTTATCCGGTGAATAAATCCTTTATTTTATATACCCAATGGATAAACGAGATTTTACATGGGAACCTTTGCATGTGTGATTTCTACACGTGCAGATTCCATTTTAGCGGATGGAGAACCTTGACCATACACCATTTTGTATTAATATGAGAACCTTGACCATACATACATAGTTTATAGTACGGTAGTAGCATCTAAATGTGCAAATGTCATGGCAGGAGCAGGGTCAGTCAAATCGTCCGCAGGTACATAAACTGCTTGAATAGAAGTTATGGACCCCTCTTTGGTCGAAGTAATTCTTTCTTGCAAAGAACCCATTTCTGTACTAAGGGTAGGTTGATAACCCACGGCAGAAGGCATTCTGCCATAAAATTTCATT